GCTGGGGGACTGCCGGGCGAAACCCTCGTCTTTGTCACCGCCCTTTCTCTCCACTGCCCCGCTTTATTGATTCATTGTTGTGCAGCTTTCAAATGATAACCCCTCCCCTCCTCCTTGTCTAGGATCCTGCTGGGATTTTTGAGCTGGTGGAAGTGGTTGGAAATGGCACCTACGGACAAGTCTATAAGGTCGGTGCGCGGCGCCTTCTTTGTTTCCCGTGGCATGCTGAAACTTCTGGTGGGGGAGGACCAGCAGGGTGATGAACATGCTGCTGACCGGTGGCCACGCCACTTGGGCAAAGTTGGGAAAGGGGTTTCTCCTTGCAGGCCCTCTGTTTTTGAGCAGAGTTGATATCCAGGCTGGCCTTAACAGACCTCATTTCCTGGCTTTGAGATAAGGAAATAAGCTACACTCTTAGGCATGCAGTATAATAAAAAGGGAAAGCATTCGTTTCATAAGACAACCTTCATTTTTTTGCTATTTTGTTTTTCCCCCAAATCTGGCCTTCTGACTTAGTGTGTTAATTAAAATTCAGGATAGGCAGGCCTTGCCTATGATTATCCTAAACCACTGCCTTGGCCTTCTTGAAAATTGTCATCGTGTTTCCTCTTTTGAATGCTTGCCAAAGTGCTCAAGGTGAGGAGTTTGGTGTTACTTGGGACACTTTATAACTCTATCATACACATTCCACTGATGGATACATATTTTGGAGAAGCAGGGAGGGACATGTGTTTGGGCAGCAGGAGCAGGAAGAATCGCAGTGTGTGGATTATAAAATCTGAATTCCAGGAATAACCTGTTTGACAGGTGTGTAATTTAAACACACATGAGGGAGAGTGAGAAGAGTCAAGAGGATGCCCAGCTTTCACACCCACCCCAAGTCTTTCTCTTTTTTCTTGACCCCCCCCCCCCACCCCAGTGGCAGATGAACTAACAAATCTGGAGACTATGAGTCTGCCCTGAGTAGCTGACACCTGATGAGACACAGTACTCACAGTACTGTTCATTTTATCCAGTGCACGTTCTAAGGATTATGAAAGAGCTGTAGGTAATGGAGGCACAGGCCTTGAACGTTTGAAACAATGCTAAATTCTCCCTGCCCCAATTCATTTCTTATACTAAATGTTTTCTAAAAGTTATCTGGATGGGGGGTATTTTTTGCTGTTAAAGTGGGTATAAGGTTGAGAAAAAATATCTTATGAAGCAGGGCTTCGCGGCTCTGCATGAAGAATTGTCATTGTCTCATTAAAAATGAAGGGGGGACTTGAAAGCTGACTGTTGACATTTTCTTAGCGCAAATTAAGAGTGGATCCTATTGTCTCTTCTGCTTTAGGAATAAGGTTTATCTTTCACTTGAACGCCTCTCCCCAGCCCCAACTTCCCCTAGCCTGGGCTGTGTACTGGCCTGTGGTCTGAACTTGAGTCAGTATTCTTAGGTGATCTCAAGTGAATTAGCCTGTGATTTGTTGGTTAACTGTTGGGGCTGAGGCCAGATTTTTGAATTTGAAAGGGAGCCCTGTTAACTCAGCCTGCTGGTCTCAACTGAATTTGGAAGCCTTAGGAAAATTTTGGGAAAGATTGTGTTGCAACTCATTGAGAAGCTGGGTAACTGACTTAAAGATGTTCACCCTAGCCCCTTTGTTTAAGTACCAGTGGGTTTTTTTCTAACCTATTTTTTTTTTTTCCAAGTCTAAGTGGTGAGTATACTCTTCCAAGTGAGTTAGTCAAAGCTTGTTTTTGACCTGGTTACACAGTGGTTGGATTGTATCTTCTTGGGTCAGCAGGGATGTGAGGGTGGGTGAAATAAACTAGAAGCCAGCAGTCTGTTTTTAAACCATGAGAGAAAAGAAAGTGTATTAATTGGTTTTAAGGAGTGGAAGTTCTTTATGGTAGCAGGTTCATTGTTAAGTTTTTTCCCCTTCCTCATTTCCTCTTTGGTTCCATGCCCTCTTTCACCCAAGCTTTTGAAATAGGTTTTCTGAGCGTTACATTTGGGAAGTATTTACTACAGAGTCTGTACAGTTGAGGAGAAATTCTGAAATGCAGATCTAAGGAATTAAAAAATTTGTGCAAAAGTAGCATACAATCACAAACAAAACAGGATCTGAGATTTTGCTCACCAGTAGTTTTATTGTTTTGGAAAACTTCAGTCTATACAAGGAGAGAGAGAAGATCACACAGTTTAACTTTAACTGGTACCAGAGCACATGACTAATCTGGTATCTGTGGCCTTTGCCTCCCCTCCATTATCTTAATCATTTCACCCATAAATACTTCAGTATGTATCTTTTTTGTTTTTTAGATAATTACAATGCCATCCTCCTAAAAAAGTAATTCCTTAGTATCAAACATTCAACGTTAACATTTTCCTGATTGTTTCATACATGTTTTCTTACTATCACCAGTTTTTAATATTTATGAACTGATACTACTGGGAAGTTCTTTAGTTTTAGAGATGGTTGAGGTAGCAGAAAACATCTCTGTTCTCCCTTCAGATGTGTAATTTCTAGAACCATTTACATTATGCACAGGAGTTTATTTAGGATTTTTGTTGGCATGATTTACATATGATGGTTTTTGGATTAGATTATTAACACTAGCAGTTTATTGCTGCTAAACATTCATTAATTCGAATAGCATCAGAGTTTGGAAAATATTTGTGGCTATTTATAAAGAATTTTTTTAAAAGCAGCTTCAGGTAAAACACCTGTAAGCTGAACAACATGTGGCCCTAATTTATTTCATTGTTATAGGTTCTATTTTTCATTTTTCCTGTGAACTTTTCATTTTTTAGCAATAGTGGTTTGCTTATTTTGAGAATACTGCACGTGAGTGAGTAGAAAGAGGGAGGTTTTTGTCAGTTTTGATATGTTCTGTGGAAATGGCTTGTTTGGAGGATAGTTTATAATCTCTATCTGAGAAAAGTAGTAAATAGTTTGGGTATAGTTGAACAGTATATACCTATATTTTAAAAAAAGTTGAAAAGCAGGATGTATTTTATTTAGAGAGATTTATTTTTAGCCTTGGGTTTTTGAGGGCTCACAGGGAAGGATATGTATAAATTAAAAGAAAAAAAATTATGAATATCTGTTCACAGAGTTTTATTCAGAATACCATTTATTTGTAAAAGAAGTGTCTGTAGGATGATCTGTGCATGTTGAGTAAATATAGTGAAGTTTAATTATTTTCATCAAAGGGGAAATATGATAGTGTGAAAACTTAAAACTGGAAATAAATCAAAATTTGTTTTGTATTGAGTTTTATTAGGTTTAGTATTTATTTAACCATTTTTCTTTTTTCTTGGGGGAACTACTCTTATTTAGTATTTCATGAGCATACAGTGGCTGGTGTTCCAGAATGACCTGGAGAAGGAAAATCCTGTGTCTGGAAAGGCGCTGTAGGGAGTGAGAGGGGACTTTAGGGAGTTTAAAATTCAGTGGGTGTGGTGTCTGGAGTCAGGGCTTCCTCCCAGGAGGGACTGAGTGGCTTGACTCTGACCCTGACCTTGGAGGTTGAGGAAGAGAGTACTCTAGGCCCAAAGATGGTAAGCAGAACCAGTACTGAGTTTGCCCCCATCAGGCACTGTGCTAACACTGTTTCCCTCATTTATTGAAGAAAGATAGGGAGGAGGTGTGTGTGACAAAAGGCCCGAGGTGACCTTCGAGAATGGCAGGAGGTTTAGGGAACAGCGGGCATCTGGAGGAGAGGCATCTGGAAGAGAGGTTATTTGCCTAAGATTTGAGGAGGGGCGTCATTTTTTGAGAATTGAGGAGTGATTGAAAGTTGTGTTGGGATTGGGGATCCCTGGGAGTAGATTTGATCAGACGATGCTTTGGGAGGGAGCAGGAGTGATGGGTGGCCTTAGGCCACAGTCCAGAAGAGAGTCGGTGAAGAGTGGTGGCAGTGGCAGTAGAGGGCAAGTGTTGGGTGGATTCTTCGGCTCCGCTGAACCTGCTGAATTCACTCATTTTCTTTTGGCTTTGGTGCGGCCTTTAAAATGGGTGCACTGCATGACCACTGGGTTCTGAGGAGCCTTGGGATTTGCAAAAGTGCTGAAATTCCTTTCCTTTACTCTCCAATAAAGTGCCGCATAAATTGTGTAGCTTTTAAAATCATCAGTCTTAACGTTTTGAAGCAAGCACTTAAACTGTTATGAGGGATTATCTAAATCAGGAGTCCCCAAACCCTGGGCCGTGGACCAGTACTGGAACCGGGCCGCACAGCAGGAGGTGAGTGGGGGGTGAGTGAGACAAGCTTCGTGTGTATTTCCAGCTGTTCCCCAGTGCTAGCATCACTGCCATTGTCAGGCAGTAGATTCTCACAGGAGCACCGGTCCTGGTGCCAGAATGGTTGGGGACTGCTGCTCTAAATGTTATCTTGTGACTGTAGCACCTCTTGTTCCTGATGAGAGGTAAAGACGTCCAGCGGGGCAAAGCAAATTTGGTAGAACCAGATGTTTCCCTTAGGGGCAGGGCTGATCTGCCGCTGAGTGGCATGTACGGACTTGTTCTGAGACAGAGTTCCTTCGTGCTGGACTGGGGAAGGTGGGAGGAAGCCAGCCCTGCTGAA